AATAATAGTTTACCAAGGTAGAAAAAAATCAAAGAGATAATAGTAAACCATAAAGGAACAGTGATGCTCAAGGATGGCGAAGATTGACACGGATTGCAAACGACGAATTTGAAAAATTTAGGTTAAACTTTTCAAAATGTGCAAACCGCGACTGAGCTCCTTTAAACTGTTGCTCAACTGATTGTTAGGATCCTAATGACCTTTGCTTTCCTTCCTGTGCATTGCGAGAACTTTGCAGTCAATCACAAATAAGACATGATTTGGGGCTCAATATGTTGTCGCCATGTTATAATAGAATTGGTTCATGCTTTTAGCTGTGCGTATATCGAGTGATGGATGCACTGTAGAAGTTTAGAGCGCACTCAATAAACTAGCACTCAAGAACTCTTACGCTTCTTTCGTGCTCTCCAAACTTCCCGCGTGCATCCGTTACTCGATATACGCACCCTAAGCATGAACCAATTCTTCAATGTACCCTCATTTCATTGTTCAGAACAGGAGCTAACTTGCATTTTAGTGATATGGTTTATCCCCCGAGGGGAGTAGGCTACACCCTTATATGGGCTATATAGGTATGTGCTCCCCGAAGGGTATTGTTTTTGAGCGGTTGTTATAGAGTTTTACCATTTTGGTCTGAAATAGGGTATGTTTTTTCACTCTGTTTTTTGGTAATGGGTCTTTTGTTCAAAAGGAACTATTTTTTTCCGCATCAGCATTGGCAAATTTGTAGCCCTTCTCAAACGTTTACGTAAATAAAAACCATTTAGGGCTACCTGCGGTAATATTTAGTGCCGTGTACTAATTTTACACCCACTTCTGTTTTTATTATTATTATTACTATTATTTTTTCATTTTTTTTTTTTTTTGCTTGCTTCAATTTTCGCTTCTGATCGACCACCAATCGAAGTGCCTGTAAAAAATGTGGGTTTTTTTTCTTTCTCAATTTTAAAAGCTGGGTAGCACAGGTTTAAACCAAATCGCTTTTTTTTTCCTGAGAAAACGAGAACCCCAACTTGTGATCGTCGCTTGACGATATCTTGTAAATCCCGATAAGCTGGGAGGTATTGAATTGTGCTGCAGCGAGCTTATCGTTTTGTTGTTGTTGTTGTGTACACGTTCTCTGCGAAGGCATTTTAAAAGACAAGTCCTCCACAGGAATGGGCAATTTCTCCACACAGCCAAAATCTCGAAACTCCAGTGTAAAACTTTCTGCTCCCGTTCATTCGACCTCTTCTACCCAAACAGTAGCTTACGTCTAACTTTTAGCCTCTGTAGGTCTAGTAAACGCTACAGATATCGACGTCACGGTTCGAATGCACGGGTTTTAATTATGATGCGCGTAAGCGCGAGAGAAAATAAACGTGATCGTGGGTGTGATTCAACTGAAAAAATAGACGAGAAAAAATACCTAAGTACAAAAATAAAACGACAAAAAACTGACAACGGAGCAAAAATAAACTTACAAAACTGTGGCGACTGTCCAACAAGATAAATTCTGGAATAATACTTCAAAGCTCACAACAGTGAGATGCAGCCAAGAAAAACGCGGTGGAAACTAGAAAAACTTATCTGCCAGCCGCTAACAAGCACTGCGGAAAATGAATACAATACTATGCATAATGATGATGGCTTAAGTACTAAGGAATAGGTCACATAATCCCCAGGGATCACGGAGAAACGTGAAACCCAAGCGCAAAGAAAATTCTAGTCGCTACAGCTTCCCTAAATCCTGCAACCACATTTGCTGTGATTTTACTGACATACAATCTAAATATCTTTGACAGATGTTCTTTAAGAGATTGCTTGACAATTTGATTCGCAAGAAACCTCAAGAGGAATGGATACCAGATATTTCCCTTAAAAGATGTTTGTCAGCTATAGACCTCATCTCCCTCGGGGTAGGAACAACCGTTGGTACTGGTTTGTACGTCATCATTGGTAATCTAGCGCGTAACGCTTCGGGTCCATCAGTCGTTCTCTCACTCCTCCTAGCGTCCAACGCCGCGTTCTTGTGCGGGCTTTCATTCGCCGAGTACGGAAGCCGTTTTCCCGATGGTGGATCTTCATACATGTATACCTACGCCACGCTGGGTGAAATTTCAGCTTTTGTTGTTGGTTGGAATATTGCTTTAGAGTTCTTACTCGCCGGTGCAAGTCTGGCCCGAACGTGCAGTGAACTTATAAATTACGCATCTAATGGAACATTGTACGCCTTCTTTTCAAAATACCTTTCAAAGGACTGGAGCATTCCTGGAAAAGTACACTTCCCTGATCTTCTCGCCGCCGCGTTTGTACTTGCAGTAATGACAATTCTGTGTTTAGGAGTTCGCAGCTCGGCGAATTTCCACAATGCAGTAACAGTAGTAAACTTGGCAGTTATAGTCTTCATGATTTTTGTCGGGTTTTTCTTCGCACACTTTGATTATTGGGAATTTAATTTTGCTTCTTATGGATTCTCCGGTGTATTACCAGGTGCAGCGCAAGCTTTCTTCGCTTTTTCTGGATTTGATGTCGTCGCTGAAGCCGCTGAGGAAGTAATACATCCCGAAAAGAATATCCCCAAGTCGTTTTTGATCACTATAATAGTGAGTACCTTGTGCTATATGGGTGTGGCCATAATACTAACTCTTATGGTACCCTCTCATAGCCTGGATAAGTACGCACCATTAGTGAAAGCATTCGGACAAGCAGCATTTCCTGGTGCTCAATACATCATATTAATTGGTGGCATCTGTGCCACTATTAGTGCGTTATTCTGTTCTGTTTATTCCACTTCGAGAGTTGTTTACTCTATGTCTGTTGACGGGCTTCTCTTTAAGTGGTTTTCCAAAGTGCATACCAAAACGCAAGTACCTCACAGGGCGACAGTGGCTTCTGGGATTGTCACGGCTTTGTTAGCACTTCTATTTGACGTCAACGAACTGGTAAGATAAGAGTCTTTACTTGATATCAACTCATATCAGTTTGATATCATTTTAATCTCAAATGATATTTTAAAATTGTGTTAAGGAGCTTCCGAACGGATTCCGCAACTTGAAAAGTTTAGCCTAAATTTTTCAAGCTCGTCGTTTGGAATCCGTGTTAAAATCTTCTCCATCCTTAACCACCCTTGTTTCTTTATGGTTTATTATTATATTTGTGGTGTTTTTCGATCTTAGTAAGCTGCTATTTGTAGGTTCCTTCAATTAAAAGGTAATTTTGTACGCGGCCAAAATAGCTCCTATAAGGTTTTGGGCCAGACAATGGTCTCTGAATTGGTCACAACCAGTTGGTTAAGAATACATTTATTTTTAAACCAGTTCAAGTCATCAAGTTATTCCGCCAGTAAAGATTATGCAGTAAACCTCGTTGGTTAAATTGGTCAAGCTTAGTCGTGGGCAGTCCTCTTTTCAACACAACATTGAAGAGATTTTAGTGGAGAATTATTGCAGAAACGTTCTTACAGCACTAAGGCATTAGCAAAGCACTGAACTTAAATTTGTTCGACGAAATGTGTAGAGAATCTGGAATCTTTGAACACAAAAGATCAAATAACGATGATGAAATGCTACATTACCTTATCTCTTTACGAAACTTTTACTACTTTTACTACTTCTTTCACACTTTTTTTTGTCTTTTTTTCTCTTCGGGTTTGTGCCATCAGGTGGAACTTCAAGCCATTGGAACGTTGTTGGCTTACACAAAGGTTACCATTTCTGTTCTTGTGAGTCGCTTCCAGCCTGGAGTACAAAGCGTTCCTGGAAATGAAAGCAGGAGAGCAAACATCACTAATTTTCTGCAGAAAATGCTCTCCAACCTTAACGACAAACCAAACGATAAGTCACGTATCACATACCAATTAGTGGAAGACGAGGATTCCTCCAAGCAACCTGTACCAAAAGTTACTGAAAAAACAGCAAGTCGTGCAGAACTAGGCGTGTTCTTCCTGGTAATTTCCCTTGCTGCACTGGCTATAGCCTCAATCCTTTTATTAGAAGATCTCTACAAAGGAAATTGGTGGGCGATTTTCCTGATTACTTTGTTCTCCGGAGCAACTGCTGTGTCACTTTTTGTCATCCATCTTCAGCCCAGAAACTCTGCCACGTTTCCATTCATGGTCCCTGGTGTTCCCTACATCCCGGCATTAACCATTTTCATTAATGCAGTGTTGATGGTGAATCTCAAAAGAAAGACTTATCTGCGCTTTGGTGTGTGGATGATATTAGGTAAGCGTTAATTTTTGTTAAAATTTTTCGTTCGTTGTAGGGGAGTGGAATAGGCGGATTCGGCTAATATTTTCTACATCCGTGCCCTCCACCCTTCTCCCCCAATTCAGACCACCTAATGATGTATTTGGTCGAGCGGGAAATGGGATTTCCAATGAGGCGAGAACATGAAGAAATTAGCAAAATTTGTTGCAGCATTCCATAATATTTTTTAACAGAAAAAGTACCGAATTATGGGAGTAACCGGGAAGGTAGGGAGAGTGGAACCTGTACGTTTTACACATTTGTACATTTCTTAGCCGGCTTCATATGACAGAGCAAATCAGTGTGAACTAAAATAGCGTTCGAGTGCTCTACTCGGTCCAGGTACTTTTACTTATTATCCAATGATCCAGTAATTAATAACAGCTAATATATAATAGGCGTTGTTCTAGATTACGCCGTAATCATCAACGTAACAATCTTCAGCTTGCAGTTTGATTGTCAAATAGAAACAGAAGTGTGTGTCACAAATACTTTTAAACACTTTTTCTTCCTTTGTTTTTTACTCAGGTTTTGTTATCTACTTATGCTATGGATATAAACACAGTACAGAAGCAGTTAAACCAGACAATCAAAAAGACGAAGATACAGCAGTGTTGCAGGAGACTCCAGAGATCGAACACAAAATTACTCATCCTCAACTTAAGTTAAGTTAGTGGGGTATGAAGAATTGATAAATTCGCTGGTTTTTGGTTTTCGTGTTGGAGATGAATTCAAAAATTTAGAGTCACTGAAAGTTGAGTTATTCAAAGATTTCGAATGATGGGGGATAACCCCGGAGCCCCGGGGGAATAACACGACGTTTTGTGTTCACCCATTTACATGCCACGTTCGAGATATCGATATTCTAACAAGGTTCCGAGCCTTTTGGGTCAAAATTGTAAATTTTTTTCAGTTTCTTTTGTCTCTCAATTGCCAAAAGAGACTTAGATACAGAAAACACCACCAAATATAGAAGTTTCTCCGAAAAGCTTCGGAGCCATGTTAGAATATTGATATATCGAGCGTGGCCTATTTATCAATGTGCGTTTTAATACGGGGAACGATTATGGAGAGACTGATCAGCCGGTTAAACAGAAGTATACACCAGCATGCGCAAAGCGAATTATAACAGGCGGAAGGGAATAGCGATGCAAAACAAAGCAAACCAGCTAAAGAATAGTTTGGAGAGACTACAGTTCGTGAAATAAGTCAAGTATAACGTAAACAGCTCGAATTCAGTTTACTTTGAGACATTACCAAGGATAAGTCACGTGAGCGAACTTTGTGATAGACTGCGAACAGCTAGGTTTCCGGCAAGGTCGTAAAAAAGAATTCTGCGAACAAAGCGAGCGGGATGGGCAGGGAAGCCTGAAGACATTCTGTTGATGCCTCCGTTCCATGAAAACAGAATCTGGTATGATAATGTGATTGGTTAAATCGCTGATTGTTGACGGCTTTGAGATAAATATTTGACAGATCTTACGGCATGTAAATTTGCATAATTTTTGACAAAACCAAGAAAGATGGCGTCCCATACCGCCCGTCCCGTCCCAAATTATAGCGCCCGTCCCGCTGGCTTCTTTCGCCATATTTTTTTTAACTTTGTGAGTGGTGATGATTTCGAAAAGGGAAGGAAGGAAGAAGACTGGATGGCACAACACCCTAGAAATTTTCAGTTACAACTGTCACATTTCATTGTATTTGCAAACCAAACGCACAAGATGCTTTTATGTCAATATCCACTTCTTGGAAGTCCATAAAGGACGACAGCTTGAACTTGAGCCAATGCAATGAGCGCGGCGGACGCATAGGGGGAAATACAAAAAGTCGATGATTTCTACCGTTGTAGAGGCAATGACATCACGTTCAAACTAACATAAGAGTTCAAATGGTCAGGAACGATTTGTTCAGTTCGATCTTTTCTGTTGATTTCCAACGAATAAATAATGACTTTCCCATTAAAAGGTGCGGCTATTTGTATAGTTAAGATAACTTAGACACCAATTAGTCGTATCATTAACTGCCAGTCAACCTAGATAAGAAAATATTAACTGAAATACGAAAGTATTAACTGAAACAATGCTTCAATACCATATACTCAAGTGTTAGATGGAGGTGAAGTGTGAATAAACTGCAATCTCGCAGGCAGTATTACTAGTCTTTTACCGGCTGGAGCTAGTATTCACGCATTCTAACAGCTCTGGAAATATCCACTTATCATTCAAGGAGCAGTTGACTCTTCACACACACTCTCTGTCCCTATCGAAAAAAGTTCTGCTCCGTTTAAACTTCCCTAAACGATCCGTATTGAGTTGCAAACATTACTATTCTTAACTGACAAGTATATATCATGTATAAAACATCTGCAAAGGTAACAGAAGGTGACGATAGTTTTCAAACATAAAACCACCCATGATGATCTCGCGTGCGATATAAACATTATTGAGCGAACTCGATTTCAGTATTTTTTTAACTCCGAAGCCTACATTAAACAATGCAGATGAACATGTTTCTAGGAAGGAGTGACTTTCCTAAAGATAATAACATGACTCGTGTGCAATTTGGAACAAATCATGAAGACGAGTAAAACAGACGATTTCGAGGCCTTTGCTTTAGTCATTTTACATCAATTGTTTGCTGGTCTTCCAAATATCTTCGAAAATTTCCGAAGGTATTCGCAAACCTCCCGATATATATAATTTATACTTTTTAGATTTTGTAATTGTAAATTCTATGCCTGTAATTCTTTATTGACTTTTTTTGATGCTTTTTATACTGGTCACCGATCAATATCTTGATCGACTGACCGGTCTTTACCAGGATAAATAAAGTTATTATTATTATTATTATTATTATTATTATTATTATTA